CATTAGAAGACCTTCACATATATATTTCCCGGATTCCAGGTGGTTCTAGGACCACTTTGGTCCTAATGTACATTTGCCTTTTGTCGGCTATATAAATTCTAGAATGCTACTGCGCTCGATTTTGCATCATGTCTTCTGTTAGGTAAAAGTCTCTTTCCAAATCTTTTCTTAAAGTCTCTTTCCAAATTTTTCTAATTCTTCCTCTATTCTTTTTGTTCTAAACCTCTACTCTAATAAAAAAGGAAAAGATGCTAAGAATTATCCACAGCCAACACCGAAAAATTATTACAAGCATAAATATTACAACAAAAAAGTAGGTCAGGGCATCATCCCAATAACCAGAAGCATTGAACCCTAGATGTGTTATGTCATCATAAGTTTCCATTGTTAGTAAATTATAATCATTACACTCACTATATAGTGGAGGCAAATATGCCATGATTCTAGCTTGAGCAACCATTTTGTATAGTTCCCTTAACAAAACCCTAGCACTGAAAGGGACATACACAACCATTTGGACCAAAAGATATAAGTTCTGCAGAATCTTAACTGCTCACACAAATATATGCATGTCGGAAGTGAAATATACCAAATAATATGTATATGCATGAACCAAATTGCTAGCTAGCTTTCATGCACAAATAATTGTAGGAGATCGAGTGTTCCTCTTTAACTTTAGCTTTATATATATAGTACAGAATCATTTTTTATTAAGTGGTGCTGCTTTAAAATGCAAATAACTTTGTTTCTGCGCTGTAATCTATGAAATTAAGGATGGACCACGCACTAGAGTTCTATGGCCTTTTTCCTTTCTATCTTCCTCCCAATGTACAAGTTACAATTGGCATTACTATATATAGTAAAGAGTCTGCCTGATGAACCACTTCAATCACATCATAAGTTTAAGAAACCCAGACACGGAAAACAAAAATGTTAAAACTTTGTATAAAATATATCCTAATTTAACAGACAATTCTTACATGATGACTAAAATAATTGACGATGGTCAAACTCAGAAATCACTTCTATCGATTTTAATTCTCAGGGATCAAAGTGAAGAGTTATACTAATCTCATATACCATTTTGGATAGAAAAAACTTAAAATATAATATATTTAAATGTGTATACAGATATACTACGTATTGTTTCTCATTCTGCTTGATGTACAGAAGCTTGCAACTGTATCAGTGGCTTGAAAAGTCGGACACTTCGTGATGTAGCTAGCTAGCTTGGGCAAAACAAACACATTTGTGAACTATAAAGCTAGGGCATGCAAGTCCCACTAGAACTATAATGCTCAATTAAGCTTTTAAGTCATGTCTATGAGTCTGTTTTTCTCCCGATATGCATCTACAATTTATGCTTACGGTTTGTGGAGTATTTCTTTTAACTATGTATACGAGCATGATATGATTAAGAGTTTTATGGTTTGTTTCTTTAGACTCTTTGACCAAATAAATAAAGAAACTATGCATCCACATGCGCTTGAGCACTGTAAAATTTTTAAATTTGTTTAAATGGAGATGGACCATATTGGTTTTACAAACTACTAAGGGCGGATGTATATTGGGACCCAGGTGTTCTCATAATCACTAGGAGACCGGGAAACAAGCCCTTGAAGATCATCTAGGAACCTTCTGAATATTTGATATGGGTCTCCTTTGTACCCACAAAGTGTTTGATGTAATATCTGATAGGTATATCTCGACAACACTCGACAAATGCTCTTGATAGCACTCATCAAATTGCTTTGACAAATGTCAAGTTGACTTATGTGCAACATGGTTCGCATGACGACAACAAATTCACTTAGTGTTCAATGAAATGTCTTCATTAATAAATTGAAATTTGTTTGCGCGCTTCACGCTATGTTTCTATCTACAAACTTAGTCCTTTGACATTGAGACCTTTCAAAGTTCAAATCCTGCAAACTACTGCAGTAGGCCAGTAATTAACCATTGCATTATTAAAGTAGGAGTAATACTATAGTTTTTTCACTGTTTAAAGGTGGTGTTGCTGGTCTAGGAACTCTAGGTGATAGGTGAGTTTGTCATTGTGTGAAACGGACAAAGAAATCAAAGATCGAATGAGTTCCAAATCAACTTTTGTTAAGGGAATCGTATTCCAATTGAGGCATTTTTTATTTTTTTTATAATTATATTCTCTCATAATGTTAGGCGGCCAGTTCCAAATTCAAATCCACTTTAAATGGTGACATTTCTCTTTAGGAATCTCAGAGAACTTCGATGGGGATCCTCCGAATAACTTTCACAAAAATATGGTTAATGGAGAAAATGGCATGCTAACTTTTGAGTTTTGAACTTCAGTTGAATATAGTAAGCTAATTATTAACTCGGGAAATTTAACCAATTTATTGGTAAAAGAGTTCTTTTAGAAAGGCAATTTGAAGAGCATGAGAAAGAGAGGGAATACCCTTTACATTTAGTTGAAGGGAGAGGACACTAAACCAGGATTCGGAATATTGTGCTTTGAGTTGGATCAAAAGTGATTCGGTTCCTCAAAAACGGCTCGTGATAGGGCCATTATACTTTTTTTTTAAGGAGCTAATTAAAGTTTGGAGAAACACTATCTACCTCATGAAGAGCTAATATGCCTGCTTTATGACATATTAGTTCTTCATAAGAGAGCTCTACCTCATAAAGTGCGTGGTTCGCCGAAAATAAAGGTGATTTTCAGCGTCAGGATAAAGAGACAGAGGCTTATGGCAAACCTGTAGAAACTCCATTGAGAGATAATATGCCTGCTTACGTTCAGTCTGCCATAGTACTCATAGGTAATTTTCTTAGTAACAATGAGCATGTCACGAACACTTTAAGCAGTGGCGTAGCATGCCTTACGAAGCGCGAACTATCCGATAGAGAAAGAGGGTGTGAATTCGGCATGGTATTTGATATTCAATGCAATGGATGAAGAATCCGGAGGATTTGTAGCCAAAGTTCCTGAAACACTTGACCAAATGAAACAATTTCATAGTTTCTCGTCAATTAACAACTTCATGAAGTTTATATAAATGAATGAATATTGAAAGCGCTTTAACAACATAGAAAAAGTTGAATATGCATCTCGGTTAGCAAAATACATGGAAGAGAGAATTTCAACTTGCTTCTGAGAAAACGCTTTTGAGCTGAAGTGCTTTCCAGGGAAGATGGGTAGAAAGTGCTTATGCATTTGGCTATGAAAGCATCAATCTTTTCACTTTGTGAAAAAAAAATGCACGTTGCAACCAAAACTTTATATCAAAAGGAAACAAATTTAACCAAACCTTGTTGGGTTTGAGTAGCGACATCTTTCCCATCGCCACCTTCTTCACACGAAGCTGCCTCCTTGCTCGGCTGCCAGAACAAGAGGTTGTTATAAAGAAGAGTCTTGAGTTTCTCCTTTTGTGGTTGGAGTCTGTGAAGCTTGAGACGAACTTTGACGGCATTGCCGCCATTGCTTTCTCAGTATCCCTCTGAGAAAGCTACTAGCAGAGTAAGGAGAGAGTTAGTGAAAGAGAGAGTGTGTTACCTTTTGGCTGCTTATCTTCCTCATGTTTGAGACGAGGGAAATGTTTTGGTTCGTCATTTTCCAACGTCCCCACGATTAATCTTTTTTCAATTAATTAGCTAGTCCAACTAAAGAAATTTTTTGTTCTTACTCCATGTTCTTTTGATCCTGAAAAGTTTAGGTGGAGGGGAGGCTACCCCATTCCAGAGTCCGGGCATTTCACAAGTTTCCTTGAGGACTTGGAGATCTTAGCCCTTCTTTTCATTTTTACAGATCACCCATCAAGAACGATTGTCAATAGCAGATTGAACCTAGACTTTGATCTAATAAAAAAAAAAAAACTATATTTACCAACTCAACCAACCATCTTTCACTTAACTGGAAATTTGGCACAATTATTTGCATGATGATTGTTTCTGCGTTTCCTTGAAATTTCTTGAAATGTATGTGAAGATTTTGATCTCACTTTTAGCCAAGACAAGTGGGCCTTTCCATTATCCTAACAAGCTACCATGCAAGCAACTACCACCTTCTTTTTTCTTGTTTTTTTCCTTCTTTTTTTTGGGAAACTCAACTACCACCTTCTTTTGGTGACTCTTGCCCCTTCAAATTGCAACTAGCCACTTTGATTTTGTGGTGTTTTTGTTTGGCTGAGAATTTGATTTTTCCTTTACGTTAATTCAATTTTCAAATCATCCTTTTTCAAAGATTACGTTGTTGTTCATCCATTTCTCGCGAGAAATTTTTGTTAAGTGTGACAGTCTTATGTCACTTGGTGTTACTAAGTTAGTATTATATATGGGTCAACAACATTACAGATATTTCGTAAAAATTATGGTACATTATTTATAAACATATTATACATGAAAAGAGCTAAAAACATTAGACGACAGTTTAACGATCACGCTGAAAAAGTAGTCACAACACAAAAGATTGATCCCTAACAATTCTAAAACAAACTAACTATCAGGTAGTCTAACGATATTTCACTTCTACAAACGATAAAAGAAGTCTCAATCTTCAATTACTCTCACAAAAGATTAAAACAAACAAATTATAGGATGAAACAAAGGTTTGGGCTACCCAATCACTTCCTCTCTTTGAACCCAAAATGAGGGACCCAATTAAAGACCATTTTAGATTTTCATTCGCTCAACAACAAAGCCTGCCCATTGCCAATGGACCACAGTACTCGGTGGCCATCTGGTTCACCCACGTGGCAACACGTCCATAAAAATAAGATTAGAAATAACCCCAAAAAAAAAAAAAAAAAAAAAAAAAAAGTGAGAAAAATTGAGGAGGGAAGAAGTTAAAATCCTACCCAACGGTCTCTCAAAGTTGGACCTTGGACTCGGGGGATGTTAGAGCCATCAAATTCCTCTGTTTTTTCGCGATGTCTTTTTCTGATTTTTCTCACAACCACAGAGACAGAAAATAATTACTTCTCCACAGAAAATCCTTTGTTTCTCTCCAATTTCTTCCTTAATTCCTCTTCTTGTTTCAAGCACAAATCAAACCCATAACCCAAAGACCGCGGCAGTTTGTGTAAGAAACACTGCCAAGTTTCGATTTTTATCAACATTTCTCGGTACATTTGTGGTTCTTGATCATAACCCATGTTGTAATTTTTGGTCGACAAGTTTCAGTTTGATCTTCTATTGCTAAATTCGTAATCTTTTGCAGGCGTGACCACTTTGACAATTATTGTTTTTTGGCAAAATGTTTGGGTTTAAGAAATCGCCTGCAAAGATTGGAAAGCAAGGTTCTGTAGACCCAGGTTTTCAAGCTGATTCAGACGCGGGGAAGAACACGCTTAACCCCGCGAGAAGAACTTCTTCCGAACCTATGCTTATCACCCCGGATTTCAGTAACGAAAAAAAACCATTAGAGCAGCAGAGTATGCAAGAGTTAGAGAAATATGCTGTTAACAAGTCCGAGGAGACAACAAAGAGTGTCAACAATTGCCTCAGGATTGCAGAGGACATCAGAGGGGATGCTACAAGGACCCTTGACATGTTGCACCAGCAGGGTGAGCAAATTACAAGGACTCACATGGCGGCTGTTGATATCGATAAGGAATTGAGTCGGGTAATCTCTCCTTCTTGTTAGGGTTTTGTAACTAGATGATTTTAGTTTTTCTTGTGACACAAGAAACTATGAAACCCGAAGAGGAGCAGCATTTTTTATCGTAATACCTAATGATGCATTCTGAAAACAGGGTGAGAAGATTTTAAACAATCTTGGAGGCATGTTCTCAATGCCTTGGAAGCCGAAGAAGACCAAGGATATTTCGGGACCCGATCTGTCATTAGGTTTGGTTCTGTTATAATCTGCTTGCTTCATTTCCTGATTCTTCAAAACCTCATGAAGCTTTTTGTATATGGTGATCATGCTCAGCTTCTGCAACCAAAAAAGCTGATCCACAGCAGAGGGAAAAGTTGGGTTTAGGTCCGAAAGGGCGGTCAGCTCCTGTGACGCCTCCTCCGGAAGGCTCAGGTGCCGTGCAGAAAGTCGAGGTAAGTGTTTGCGATTACGGTGGCTACGTGCCCTCCCGATTTTACTTATTTTGGGACTGGTTTGTGAATAACAGTATGAGAAGGCAAAGCAAGATGATGGACTTTCAGATCTAAGTAACATTTTGGGGGATTTGAAGGGTATGGCTATGGACATGGGAAATGAACTCGACAGGTCAATATCTTTGTTCTTCGCTGTGAACTTTCTTCGTGATTTGCATCTATATCTCTACATTGTTGTTAAGTACTTTGGAAAAATGCAGGCAAAACAAAGCCATCGATAATCTCTCTGACGATATTGATGAGGTTAACTCTCGAGTGAAAGGTGCCAATCAACGTACACGCCGTTTGCTCGAGTGAAGGCCAACAGTTTTAGAAATACCGGCAAGCAGTCTACAGAAAATTTGCACATTACTTTTGATTGTATATAACTGGTTCCCCCTATTTGGGATATACATGCAATAAAACGAGCCTTTATGTTCAGATTCAAAAACCATACAGCTCTAGATTACACCATATAGTTTTGCATTCCTATTTTCTTCTCCTCCACTCCTTTTTTTTCGCAGTTTTTGGATCGAACAAATCAAATAAGATCCAAGGACGGGGCAGAAATAAGGGGATGATGGCGGGAAGAGAAAACGGGAGTGAAAGTCACTACCGACACCAAATGTGTGCAGAAAGTTTGAATATTTACAAACACAGCAATCTGCAGTTGTAGGAGCTCAGGTTTCCTCACTCTTCACAGGAATCCAGTTACTTCCTGGAACGGCCTTTTTCCTGGAATATGAAATGTAACCCACAACGTATCCTATAAAAACCCCAAGCACCAACACACTTGCTCCCTTCACAAACCAAGAGAATGTAGACTCTCCACTGCTCCTAATAACCCCAGCATCACCACTGCTACCGATATTAACAGACTTGATACCGCCTCTACCAGCTCCACTATCGCCGAGAACTTGGCCTGAAGCCAGAATCTCCACTGTGTCGTGCACCTTCCCATCATGGTTTCCAACATAAGTAAGTGTAAGCTTCTTCCTTGTGGCAACCAACCTAGTGTACCCAAATTCACCACCGCGGTATAAAGACCGCTCTGGCTGTGGGTACACTGGGTCAGTTGGATGATCTGGTCTAGGCTCCCAGATCGGTTGCCAGTCTTGCCCTCCCATCCCAATCACAACATGAATAGGTCCAACACTCCCACAAGTATAGTTTACCAACTGACAAAACCTCTCGTATCTGTGTACATGTCCCCATAGTGCAAGATTTACATTGTTCTTCACAAACAGAGGCTCCAAATGCTCCAGCATTTTCACCCTCAAAGGAGCATCACCTCTCTCGTAGCTTGTTGTGTACATCGGCCTATGTCCTTGCACCACCACAAATGGCGTCTTCCTCCTATCCACTGCCTCCAAATCCCGCTTTATAAATTCCAATTGCTTGCTTCCTTCAACAAAATTGGTCTCAGTTGAAATGTACACAAAATGTACTGACCCAACATCAAACGAATAGTAAAGATTTCGTGTAGCTGGGGCACTTGTTCCAGTCGGTTCAGATGAGTTTCCAGGCATGTTGAACTTAAGACTATAGGGCACCCCACATTCTCCCCCACCATCTGTCCCATACATTGTTGCCCACTCCGGTTTCCATGGCTGCAACGGCCAATCATACTCGTGATTTCCAATACAAACATGGTATGGAAGTTTGGATGCAAGGGGTTCAATTTGGCTAAAGAATTGATCCCACAACCACGAGTACCCTCTCGCGTAGCTTATGTCTCCGATGTGGGAAACAAAAGCCGGCTTTTCACCAAGAGCCTCAACATCCCGGAGGATCCATTTCACAGTGGCTATGCTCTCGTCTTGTGTCCGAAGAAACGTTGCATAAGGTGTTGCAGTCCCCATGTCACCAAACATAAAGGCCGTAGTTTCATCCGAGTCCTCGTTTCGTGAGACAAAGCTGTGCGTTTTGCTCCATCCTTCAGAATCACTTCCGACCTGATCACATAACACTTACTATCAGGTCCTCTTGAAATGCTTGTTAGAAGGCATTTCTCTTCAGTTCATAAGTGATTTTACTAAAAGCACTTTTATTAAAAGTACATCGAAAGTTCGAAACTTTTGATAGAAATTAAGGTGCTTTCGGAACTGCCTCCTAAAAAAGCTACTCTTAATGCACTTCCAAGTTCCAAACATTCGTAATCAATCTCGTTAAGAATTTAACTAGAACAGTAAAATGTAAATTTTACCTTGTAATAATATCTGACGCCTTTTCCCAGTCGGGTCATGACCGCATCGTGGATAAACCCGGGATCTCTCCACCCGATACTGTTGTTGGCGGGTGCATCGCACATGTGCTCCCTTTCATACCTCCCCACACGTGCCACCGCCCCGTCATCGAGCGAGTCCTCCCTCTGACCGTATCGAACCTTTCTCTCCCCGCCGTCTGGCGTCACGAACATGACCCGCATCTCGTCATCTCCGTCCGTGTAAGCGAGGTGGATCTGATCCGGAACACGACCCGATTCGAAGCTAACCTCGTCATCTGAGGTGGCGAGCAGGTGGGCGGTGCCGGGGAGAGGGTTGTGGTCCTGGTCGAGGTGGTTGGGGTCGATCTCGGACTCGTTCCAGCGGAAAATCCGGAAGGAATAGTTGAATCGGAGATTGACCAGAGGGAGGGAAATGGAGCCCGACCCAGATTTCCATGTGGGGGCGGAGGAGAGGAACTTGTATCCTATAAAGTTGTCGTGGTGGGAGGAAGGGGGCGAGTAGATGCCGAGCCAGTCGAGTCGAGAGGGCGAGTCGATGCCGGACCATTGGATTAGGACGGAGTCGCCCGATTTGGAGAGGGAGGTTGGGGAGAGAGAGAGTGAAACAGTTTGGTGGGTCGGAGGGAAGAAGGTGAAGAGGAGGAGGATGAAAACGAAGGTTGTTGAAGGAACGGCCATGGCGATGGCGGATGCGGTGACTGATGAGCAATGGGATTGGATAGGTAAATAACTAAATACTAAATATCTATCAAAATAACATTTATTTAATACTCAGGCATACTCCTTTTGGTTGTGCGGTATCAAAATCTATTTAGTCACTGTTTAATCTTAATTAATCTTAATCAATTCATTAATACTGCCATTTTGTGTGTCAGAGTCGGCCACATGCGAAAGTGAATTAGAGGTTCCAAAATTGCGAATATAATTTTTTTTATTTTTAAATTTTAGTTGTGCTTTCTCTAAATTGTAATAGCAAAAAAAAAAATAAAACAAATGAATTGACAAAAAGGTGAATTATTATTTTTTCCTGAATTACTTAAAGGTCTAACCATTTAGTAGTACAATCTAATGGTATTCTTTTTCACTTGTAAGTGAGAGGTTTTAGGTTTGATTCTCGTCAAATACGAGTTTGAACCATATTATTGCTAGCTTATTGTGAGGTTAAACCCGCCCCTTTCTCCTTAGCGTAAATAACATTGTTTGTTCAAAAAAAATAAAATTACTTAAAGGTCCAGGGTTAAAATTTTTATTTTAGTTTTGTGGAATTTTTATATTATTTTTGTGAAACTTTACGTATTTAATAATAATAAAGTAAAAAATGATGGAGGCAAAGTCTCGAACCCATTCCCAAACAATTACAGAGAAGCATAAGTACCACTTGTGCTAATAGTTAATTTTATAATTTTTTCCACACATATTGGTCTATATACGTATATTCATGTAAAATAGAAAAATCGAGGGCTCTTTCGATTTGGGGGCCCTGTGCGGTGGCACCACTTGCACACCCTCAGGGCCAGCCCTAGTGTGTGTATAAAAAAATGAAAATGAAAAATATATATGGGAGGAAGAAGTTGGGAGAAAAATGTGAAGTAGATAGATCGTGAATGTTATAAGTAGGTAAAAATTAGAGAAATAACATTTGCTAGGGACAAGAACGCGGGTGCAAAATATCACACCGTTGAGTTTTGTAACTATAACACAAAATGATTGTAGGTAAAGAGAGGAAGGAGATATTGATATAATTGCTTTCACTTCTGTTCTTTACTGTGTATTGTGATCACATACGGAGTGCTCGTTATATAGAGCTACATCCGTGAAGGTTTACAAAAAATGAAATGATTGTCTTTTGAAAAATCTCACATATCAACAACAACACAACTATTCTTAAGTCTTCCTCACTATTAGCTAAAGCATGTGGGCATACATTTCCACAATTTTTACAACAATGAAAGATTTTTTAGTTTAATTTTTAAATTTTGGGAAATATAGATAGAGACATGCATTGATGATATGTGGATGAGAAAATTTTAAAAGGAAAATCTTTTTGTGTAAAATTACTTTAATATCTATGAATTTTCTTTTCTAATACTTATCTCAATGCAATAGGGTGTAATAGTATTTTTGTTTGGTTCTCCTTCTCTCTTGACTTTGTGAATTGGGGATTTACAAATTTGGTGTCTATGATTGTAATTTCATTATGCTATTCTACAAGATCTATTGATGATGCCATATCAAGTTTGATTCTTTAAGTTTTTTTTTTTTTTTTTTGGGTTACAAATAGTAAAATTATTACCAACCGAAAATTTACAACACAAAGGCCCACACTAAAACACAAATAAAAAAGGGCCAAACAAACTACACACCAAGGTCCAAACCATATACATAACACAAAAATGGACCTTACAAACTACACACAAAGGGCCAAAACAAAGGCTAAAGCCCAAAAACAAAGACACACCGAAAGAGAACCCTAGCCTTCTACTACAACCGCATGTGCATCATCACACGAACAACAGGAACCATGTACACCTAACTTACTCCAGAATTCCGACCAATCAACACCTCAGAGGCTAAAGCCCAAAGACTAAAGCCCAAAAACAAAGACACATTGAAAGAGAACCCTAGCCTTCTGCTACAACCGCCTCTACAGCACTGCACGAACAGCAGGAACCATGTACATCGACTTACTCCAGAATTCCGACCAATCAACACCTCAGAGATGGGAGGAAGGAAGACCATGTGATCCATTAATGAAACCCTCTCTGACGGCAGCCACCAAGGAGAAGAAAACAAAGAAGCCTGTGATAATCCCACAAGCAACACTGCCAATAAAGGCAGACCGATAGAAGAAAGTGGTGCGGACACCTGAGCCGATATGTAAACCAGAGCTCAACACACCTTCTCGATGTATCGTGACAGATCACAGCCAAAAGTAACTGCATACCAAATTTGGGTATAAATTGATGAAGGATGGAGCCAAATCGAAAATAAAGAAGATTAGATTTGTGGGGGATAAGGGATGGTAATTCTAACCGTTAAACCCAATAACCGTGGATAACCACCCGAATGGATTAGATTTGGATATGAAAATTCAGGTATGGTATGGATATGGGGAAAAACTGTGAACTTTATTCGGTTATGATTTTGGATATGGCTATAGGGATCCCCAATCCGTATCCATCCCCGAATCTGACCCGAATATATATATATATATATATATATATATATATATTTTTTTTTTTTTTTTTTTTTGATATATAATAGAATTTTATTCAATTTACCGAACCCTCCCTATACTAATTCGTTATGCATGCATCAAACCCTATACTATCTTTATTATGCACCAAACATCATGCATGGGGTATACCAACAACCTCATCAATTCAATACTCTTATTGTTATACTTAACCAAATTATTCATTGAATCATTTTATATATCAATTATCAAATATTATAAGTTTATCAGATTCATCTCTCTTCAAGAGTTTCACTGTCAAAAAATTGGTGCATGTTATCGTGAACAACTTCAAATATATTGTTAGTTTTTTGTAATTGGATGTTGCTATTTAATGACGGAATTAGTATCTACTAAAATTTATAATGCGTCAATTGGATGAATATATATATATATTTTTATTTTTTTTTATGAAGATGTATATAACTGATAACCAATTGAAAATCCGTTACCCGGTGGATATGGTTATGGATAATCCCCGATGGTTAATTTGCGGTTATGGATATGGTTAATTTTCGTGGTTATGGGGATGGATATAGCATTTCCGTCTCCAAACCGAACCCTTGCCATCCCTATGGGGGATGGACGAGGGGCATGAAGATGGGGGGATGAATTGGATGGACATGAGGAATTAATTGAGTAGGAATAATGGCAACAAGAGTGCATAGGTCGCACTGATCATGATGGATAGCAGGGGAAAAACAGTAACAGAAAAGAAGGGAGGGAAGAGCAAAAAGAAAAAGAAAATGACTACCACTAACCCTAGCCATAGCCATAGCTAGGGTCGGCGCCTGAACAGAAAAACCAATAACGGAAACCTCACACAAGAGATGAGAATGAGTCTCAGTTAGAGAGAAAAACTCTCATCGACTCGGGAGAGAATCCACTATCATTTTATTAGAAAATAATGGAAGTCCTTTGAGTTTTGCGTTCAAATTACTGATTTTGTTGAAGGCCGGTTCCGTTATTATTGTGAATTGTTGTTGAATTACGTTTAAGTCCTGCTATTTTGTCAAGATTTGATTGTTACTTTTGGTTGTAAATTAAGATCAGCTACGTGTTTTTCTGATCAAGATTTTGTTAGAAAATATTAGTATTTTATTAATTGGGTTTTGCATGTTACCTTAGGATTTGGACCTAGTCCATCTGAGACTTCGAGAGTTTTTTAAGTTTTGTTCTCTATAAGCATAGCATATAGTTTTTTATTTTTTTATTTTTTTTGGAACAGATATAGCTTGTAGCTTAGTATGATAAATAAGTCAGTCAAGATGCAATTTTCAATTTGTAACCGTCTCGACAATCTTATTTATTTGTTTTCCATTTAATAAAATAATGTTCATAGTTTATCTTTTGTTTGTTTGTTTCGTTATGAGTATTCTAATTTTCAACTTGATATCATATCAGATTTGAATTCAAGATTTAATATGCTCTTGTCCCGTATCAGTTTGTTGTCATATTTCCTTGTTTGATTGTTCTGATTTAGATTCATCATGAAAATTATCGTTGTTCGTTGTAGTCCAAAAAAAGTGTCATTGTTCATCATTTGTCATTTGTTCTTGTCGTGTACTCTGGTGTCTAATCTGCACCCAAGCAACCTATCTGATGAACCAGCACCGGACTGGCATCTCGCACCATTTCCTCATCTGGATCCATCTCCACTGTCTTATTGTATGGGAATTGGCATTGGAAGTCAACATAATGGAGTTTGCATCCACATTTTTTTATTGGTAATTTAGGTCGTGTACCGCCATGAGTTTGACAAGCGTCTTGGAAAATATTAGTATTTTCTTCTTTGGATTTTGCTTGTTAGTTTAGGATTTAGGCCTAGCCCATTTGACACACCCCGACCTAGATCGAGGCATGCTAGCCGTCATGTGAAGGTGACGTAGCCATGTGCACAGTGCGGAAACAATATTTAGATAAGAAATGCGAATAAACAAAAACCAAACCAACTAGAGCACTAGATAAGAATAAGTGGAAGACGAAAATAAGTGTGAATTCACAATCAAGGCATAAGTAGCCTAAGTGCAGTCCAACAGGACGAATGCTAATTATACAACACCAAAGGTGATCCTACAATGGTAATAATCCGTCAGAGCTGTCGTGGATTCCTCGCAAGCCACCAATAAGCACTCCTAACTAGAACCTGGAGGGGTGCAAAACAGAAAGTGTGAGTAGGCAAAAACAAAGCTTTTCAAAACCGTTTCATCATCAAAGATAGTAACCCCTCGCCGTAAAACCTGTATAATTTCCCAGAACATAGAATACATATCTATACCACAACCATGCTCAGAATAGCAAAATCCACAAATATGTCATGTCAAATATCTCAACATAAAAATATGTAAGCCAAGTGATATAAATCAATACAAAATGATATGTCAGCCGGAGTCACCTAACGTGACCTGTACGGTTCAAATCCACATCTCAATAAATATACTTGCACACGAGTCAGAACCACCTAAAGTGGTATGTATGACAAA